TTCACAAAGTGCAGGTGCAGGGTGGTGTAAAAGCTGACAGTGACCCAGCTAACCATAAGCAACATTAAAACCAACAGCAGTTTCAACACTATTTGGGATTACAGCTTTCAGTCAAACAGCTGAGGTCCCTCATATTGTCACAAACCTGTGGCTAAATTAAACTTCCAATTTATCCACAATAATTTGTAACATGACATATCTACAACACAACACATTCACCATCTACAAAAATGCTGATTTTACTTTATATTCATCATATTCCTGCTTCCAGATTCACTGCCTTCCATACTTTCAGGTTCTTAGGAGTAAATGCATAGCAGACTAAATTCTGCAGTTTCTCAATGAATACATTAATTTTGATCTCTTCCTTCTCTGCAAAGCTATCAGTGAGGCATGGCAGTGTAAAGGAAAAAATGTAAATCCATTAATACCAAATTGTTGGTGAATACAACCACAAAATGTTAAAAAGTAGTGGCTTGATCAACAAGCAAATGCCTGTTGAGAATTTCACAAGGAAAAATTCCAGTTCGTTAACAAATAATACAGAGAAGCAACCAGCATCTTTTACTGAATGTAAAGGAGTGAATTCCAAATATCTGTTATTTATGTATCTATCTGGATTTTCACATTACCAACATTATACCAGCACCCAGATATTTAAGGTCTATACAGACAAAAGATGGAGAACATAGGAACAAATGAACATTTTCCTTGCTTGGAGAGACACAAGTGGAGTCTAACACCCAGTGACTCCCAGGCTGCTATTTAGGCCCAGAATATGCAATGATGGACCCAAATTTTCCTGTGGTAAGCCAGCAGGAGCCCACATCTTGTGTGTATCACCAGCCTGCTGTCAAAATTACATTTTCTACTGCTCTGCAGAAGCGTGGATATTATTGCCATGTCTCTCAGAAATTGTGCCCCACAGATGTGAGAGGGGTTCGACATTGCTTTGATTGTATCTTTGAAAACATTTTCTGATTACCAAAAATACAGATAGACAGAACGGGAAGCTTTGCATTCACACTGATTCTAGCACCCCTACACAACAGCGTGCTCAAATAGTACAGCAAGAACTTTCTTTGAGAAAATTCAATCTTTGCTGAACTCTCCTTCCTCTTCCTTTCAGAAGCCCATAAATTTAACAATGAATGGAGACAACTAAACCAAATAAAAATATTATTTCAGTTTTATCAAAGGACAGGAAAATGCCTGCTCTACAAATACATCTCCTCATGGAGACAGACACATCCACTGCAGACACCTACCTTTTGGAGCTGGCTCTGCATCTTTTGCCTTTAAGTCTATCCAAAACTGATAATGCAGGGAAAGAAGTGGATGTCAGAGAGGAGTTTCATTTACATCTGTTCTTGCCCAGCACTGAGTCCAGCAGAGACAATATGTCACCAATGTAGATTTGACAAGCTCTCTGGCTTTTCCATTGCTGCCTGCAAGTGATTTGGACTATTATACAGGGTTAGAGAGCTGTAACTCAGTTTCCTCCAGCCACAGGATGAAAGGTTGCTTTGGATGGTGATTTACATTGAGATTAATCACAAGCATGGCCATGGCAAATGTTTATCCTTCTGTGTTTGCCAGTAATTTAATTTTACTGCACTGAACAAATCGAAGACAACTGAGTTTGTACTCCTGGTGCACTTTGGAAGTGTCCTTATTGCTGCTACTGCACATTGGCTGCTGGAGTCAAATGGTTATTTGGTTATTTTTTTATGGTTAATTTTTTAAACACATCTGGGTGCTAAGCCTTGTGTCATCATCATGAGTCAATTGTTAAAGTAAATTGTGAAATAAAAGTGGACAGTTTGGAGCAGGAGCCTGAACATCTGATGGGCCATGGGGTGCCTGGATCCAAAGCTGTGTTTTAGCACAGGATGCACATGTGGGCAGCTGCACCATTTATCTGTGGATCCAGGTTCAGGCTGAACCCCCCCAGGCTGGTTCCAATGCTTCCTTCCAAAGTCCAGTGGGTTTCAGCCCGCTGGTTTTCACTTGGGCCCATTTTTTAACAAAAGCAAATGCAAATGAGGAGCTACCCAGAAATAGCGCTGCATAACAATTTCCTATATAAATTTATAATGCAATGGAAACAGATGGTACATTCAGCACTGTCAGAGAAAGCCATTTGGGTTTTGGTGACTATTTCTTTTTTTTATTTTTGATGGTATTTTTACTCTGTCTATTTTCATTGCTGAGTTGTTTCAACACCTGTATAAAATAGAAATCCACCCTAAGTGAGAGCTGTGTAAACTCATCTTGCTGACAGATGCAGCTTTGTCAGTCCTGATGAGATTTTCTGACCAGAGATGTAAATTGTACAGCACACCACTTTTTGATGGCAATCAACAATGTTCACTTGGATTCTACTTCCAGAAAGAGGGATTAATTTATGAGGGATTATTAGAAACCATTTCTAAAAGCATGAAAGCCTCCTTCAATTTTTATGAGGAAGGTTTTTTGTTAAAGATGTAGCAACAGATAATTTATTTTGATGCTGTATTTCACACAGTATGTGTATTCTACATTTTCTACAATATTTACAGGAAAGGCCAGTGATGGTGATCTAAATTCAGGACACACAGCTCAGAGAAGATTAATTTAGACCAGGCTTGGGACAGCACATAGCTTATGCAATTTACTGTCACCATGTCCACTGAATCTTTGCTGATTAATTCAGCGGCAGAAAAAAAAAATAAAATAAAATTGACCACAGTTTTTTTTTTTAAGGGAGGAGCATGATGTTGTACAGGTCTGAAGTAACCCCCTCTAGTGTCCTCAGCCAGTAAGAAACTCTGCAGTTAAATGTTCTCATCAGAAATTGCTCATTCTCACAGAGGCTCAACCACCAAAATCCACCAAATATCTCATGCCCAGAAGAAAATTTATGGCCATGATGGAAAAAGCAATGCAAAAGCCCAGCTGTCTATTGTTGGCACACAAAGAAGCTGATTTAATTTTGAGGAATGGACCTCCATTTTCCATTTCCCAGTGTCCCCCACTCTCTGTCTGCTCTCACATTCTGCAAGTCTTATTCTACCTGGCTAGAATAAGAGTTGCAGAACGTGGGAAGTGATTACTTCCCAGGAAAAACTGCTACTTGAATTCCAATCTCAGGAAAATAACAAAATTGCCAAGCTAGAAAGTATTTAATCTGCTTGGTCTTCTTTTCCCTACCCTCAAGCCCACTGTATTGAATCTTTTAAAGAGAAAATTATCTCAGAATAATAGAACCATTTTCCTTCAAGCAGAGTTTCTCTTTGGACAAAATGGGCAAATAAATATGCATGTGTTCTCAGAGAGCATTAAACTACAGTTTTTTACAGTATTTCTCAGTGTTCACTGTACTGCAAATATCTACACTGGATAGATGGATACAAGATTTTTAATAATGAAAGAGTTTCCCTGTATGAATCAAAGGTAAATTAAGACTAATGGGGAGTGTAGTAACAGTTCTCACACCACCTCAGACAAATAATAAGTTTGGAAACTCAAAGAAATAGTCATTGGGTTGTGAATGACATCCTGGAAGGCAAAACCTGAAAACTAGGGGTGGTGGGGGAAGAAGAGGGGAAAAGAAGAGAAAGAGAACAAGAACTCATGCTCTGTGCTCCTGAAAGATGAGAGGAAAATGACTGGGTTCAATGTAGGTCACGAAGGAGGGAAAATACCTGAATTAACAGTGTGGTTAAAAATCAACAAGTGTTCTTCTCTGGGATGTAAAACAAATTATTTAAATTTTAAAGCTTTCTCATGAAATGGGGAGCAGATATTCTTGTTTTGTGTGATCTACTTGTAGTGTGGTGTCTCCACAGCAGGACCTGTGGGACCTGGCCCAGTCTAATCAGATCACAACTTCAGTCTTTCCATTTTAGATAATGGAATAATTATCAATAATTGTCAATGAACCTTATTTTTTCTGTATTTATGATAACACAGTCTTCTGGACTGCTGCTGTTAGTAATAACACTGAAATTAAGAGCAATTTCAACTAGGTTGCTGTTGGGTGTCAGTATGGAGAGCTCCATAGCAGCCATGGGAAGACAGGAAATCCCACTGGAAATTCGTTGCACAAGCACTGTTTGAGGCAAAAATAGAAAGCTAAGAAGTATTTACTTGCCAGTGCAGGATGTGATTAAAATGAGATTTCCATTAAGAAACAAATGAGTACATTATGCTATTTTCAGGTATCAAAAAAAAAAAAAATGGATGACTGCAAAAAGGCTCTGTTTACATATTGAAATCTGTTTATCTGATATTTACAGATAAACAAAATAGACAAGAATCTGGAATTTATCAATGCAAATCATATGTTTTTCTTCATCCATTGAACATTATTTTCTGTGAATTTGTTGATAACCTATTATTTCAATAATGAAAAACAAGTAAAAACCTCCCCCAAATGAGCAAATTCCTTTCCTACTTACTATGTAAATAGAAACAAACTATATTTTCCATTTCTAATTAAACCTCTACCTGTTCCTCAATCAGGTAAATTGCTAATAGCTTCTTGCTGTATTATTTTTGGGACTGAGCAGAACTATTCTGGTCGCCATAATTAAGACTTCTAAAATTAATATTTAATTTTTTATAAATGCTGGACTACAACATCCTGAGAAATAATAAATACAGGCCTGATTGCAGAGCTGAAGGGAGCTGTTATGTGCATTTTATGACTTTCCTTTATCCTGCACTCTGCACCCCTGTTCACTTGAATGCTATTAAGTTCTGAAGCTGATTACATGGGTTGGTTTGTGACTCAGCCAGCCAGCCCTTCAGGCACCTAAAAATAATGTTCTGATGCTTTTGTTAAGGGAAAAAAAAAAAATAAAATAAACGCCTGTACCACTTCAAGCAACCTGAGCTGGACCTGAGAGTGAAAGCCCAGCCTGGTCCAACCAATTCAAAACCCTCACATCAAAACCAAAGCACTGCTTTTTTCAGTGCTGAAGGCAGGTAACAGAAAATTTGTGATCTCACCAGCTGAACATGGAGCTGAGATGGATGTCAGGAGCTTGCCAAGTCTGCCTGCAGCTCTGGTCTCCAGGTCTAAGACTCTCCAGGCTTTGATTCCTGCAGGGAATTTGAGGTAGGGAACGCAAGAAATGAGTGAAGTCATTGCTCAAAAATAGCAAATTAATCCATCACAGGTCATTGTCTGCAGTGGGGTTGTGTTTGGGAATGGGAGAGAGAATTCAGTGTGCATATAAAACACAGAATGACAAAATTCGTGGAAAAACAAGGAGAAATACAAACAACTTTAAGGAGAGTTATGAAAGAGTTCAGTTCAAGGCAGAGAGCAGCTATCCATTACCTTTCATGCCACTGTTTAAAAATCTTCAAGAAAAGACTGGACTTCTTCACATGTTTCAAAGGACCAATATTGTAACATTTTTTGTAACTTTCTTTACCTTTTTTTTTTTTTTTCATCCTTGGAAATCATGTTCTGAATCAGAGTTTTGATTCCTGTACATTCACCCAAACATTAAGAGCAGGTCAATATAAAGAATGGTAGAAAAGGGAGACAGAGGAAATAAAAATTCTGCTATGGCACAAAAATGAAAAAATGAGCCACTTTAAGAGTCTGGTTTTTAAAACTTTGAACCTCACCCCTATAATGTGAAACAGCATAACAACCATTTGTTAGCAAAAAGATGATTAAGGCTCAGTGGAGAAAGGCTGTTTGTCCTGCAGTGACAGAGTTAATGGAAGGCCTGAATTGCCCTCCAGAAGCTTCTCTCTAATGATTTACACAAGAACCCAGGACAACTACGCTGCTAATCAGGATTTTCAATTAAGTGCTCAAAATTTGGCAGGATTGGTGCCAACCAAAGCAATTGTTCTCACTTTTTTTGTACAAATAGAATGCTGCATCATGTCTGGAAGATTCATCAGTGAAGGTGCAGATCTTGGACTGAGAAAAAATGGGTGTTTACCCCTTTCTGTGCTGTCTTCATTCAAGGACCTCTTGGGGAGCAAAAATGGAATTTGCAGTACCAAAATCAACACAACCAGGCAAGGACATCTGCAAACAGCCCCCAAATGAACCTGCCCTGTCCTTCATTAAAGAACTGTAGTCTCCTCCTGTATCAAAGCTCTTCTTTTGCTCCACCATTTCAACTCCTCATCAGTAATTTCACCACAGCATTCCTAGAAGATGGCCACAGAAAATGGATGATCATTAGGTTCCCTACCACATATTTATAAAATTTCACAAATCCCAATTTCATCTTCCTTCCAATTGCCCTTTCCATTTTCCGATGTTATATACAAAAGTTAAAAATACAACATATAACTGCTATTAGTTTGCATCTTGCTACAATCATTGCACTGCAGTTCCAAACACAACTAATTAGGCATCAAGGATCAGTCTGAACTACAGCTCACCATTTTTTTTAGAGAGTATTTCAAAAGAACAGAGAATTCAGCCAGCTCTTACTTTACGTGATTTAGCTTGTCAATAAGAGAGGAGGTTATGATATTTTCACCTTAATTATCCTAATTTTAAAATTCCTCTTTCAAATAAGAACACTATTGCAGAATGGATTTCATGGTTTTAATTATTCCAAAATCATGCACTGCTTATAAAAATTAACAACTGCCTGTAATTATGGGTGCATAGGGGTTTCTCTGCTTAATGCAAAGTGCCCTGTTCAAAGTCAAGGTATTTTAGTGGGGGAAAGACATAAAATGTCACAGAATATGCTGAACAGAAGCTTTTGCTCTTCTGATAGAGTGTTATACAATTTTCTTTTCAAATTACACTTTAATTTATTTTATCTTTAAAAAAAATGCCAATCTATTCTTAAAACCATAAAGAAGCATGTAAAGATATAGAATGTATTTTCTAGAATTGCAAACAGGATTATTTTAATGACAGTACTGTTATTGCTGAGAAAATAACACTATGTGTGTGGCGAGGTGATTCTGGTGACCACATTCTGTTATTATTTTCAGAGTCAGGAATTAAAAATACCCATAATATTTACATCTGGTAAATAGGCATCTAAACAATTAATTACATTTTCAAATGGAGAAAGAGAAGATTATTCTGAAAGTGATCAGCAACCTTTCTTTTTTTTTTTTATTTTCCAAGCAGGAATCTTTTTTTGCTCTAAATATAACAGTGCTGGCATTCAGAATGATCAATGAGTTTGAAGCATTTTCTTGAAACAAAATGTGAAAAATCAGTCACCTGACTTTAAGTTTTCCACTAAATTAGGCAACAATTGTTGTCAAATATATGAATTACTTGTGAATGGAGTTATAGTTGATCTTGACGTGTTCATGATTTTTAGTGTTTATCTTTGTCTATGTAGATTCACCTTTCCTAGCATTCATATACAGATCTATTCATCTTTCTTTCTTAAATAATAGCTATGCAACAACAGCATACTTAAAAATGTTTTATCCTGTAAGTTCTTTTTTGGTCAATTGACAGCTTGAGGACTGCTGTATGTATATTCACCCATGAATATTCACATGCACCGTGTGCAGAAATATTTCGATATTTCTCATAATGGGATGGAGATTTCCTCTTGCAGCTTTTGCTCAATAAAGAGAAACAAGGCATTTTGCAGTCAGGAATCAATGACCATTTGGAACCATTCAACCTGGACTCTTTCTTCTTGATTAGTGTGAATAGCAGCACTCCCAGTGAACGAAATTTTGGTTGCATTAAGTAGAACTGACAAAAGTCCATTAGAAAAAATGCACTTTGCTATGTTTTCCTATAATGCTACTTCTTAAAAGAAAAAGTACCATATTCCTTTTGTCAATTGGCAGGCAGAAGCTGAAATTCATCCCAAATGTCTCTGTATTTGCTAAAAGAGCATTTCATTATAAAGATGCTGCTGCCATCTATTGGGTAGCATTACTAAAGAATTAAGTCTTTTCTGGATTCAGCAAGGACAAATAAATTGTGTCATTCACCATTTTCCTGTGGACTTTTATTAGCAAGTAGGTTATAGCAACCTATATTTGGTTTGCAACATATCTTGCGTAAGGAGCTTGGTCCTGTCTTTGTCACCATTGCTGAATTTCATGGAGAGAGACATTTTGGAATAGCAGTGAACTTAAGTTCAATAATGTGGCACCGGAACAATGGAAAAATTTAAAAATCAACAACGAACCCACCGTTTAACACTGCCTCACATCTCAGAAATATCTTTTACAGATGTTTCCATGCTCAGTGTCACTAGCGGAACTGCATCACTTGCTGTGTTTGAACAAAAACCTAATTTCCATGTAACTGGCAATCTTTTGCAATACAGATATTACTGTGATATACAGAAACTTCACAGTTGTTTGGGGTTTTTTTTCTAAGCAACTTCGTGAGGCTTCAAAGAAGTATTTTGCCCCTCTAAGACTGATTTTATTTTTCCTATAAAATCTTAATTGAACTTCTGAATCTTTTTGCGACATCCCTGCATGTATACCTTTGGTACATAAAAACTCATTTTAACAAAGGATACAGGCATCAGAAGGATAAATATTAAAACATATATTTGAGCTTTGAAAGTTGTAGCTCAGTCCATGGTGGAACCACATGGAGGTGAACACATATGGTGGAATAAATGCAGAACAGAGGCCTTGAAAGCACTGCTCTGCTACAGAAAACAAACAATTAATATTGACAGCAGAAAACAATGGCAAAAGAATCAAAAAATCTCTGATTTCATCTATTGCCACATCTTTCTGACAATGAATAATAGTGTTTCTCTTCTCTGAATCCTTTTGTGACATCCCTACATGTACATCTTTGGTACATAAAATACATTTTAATGAAGGATACAGGCATCAGAAGGATAAACATTAAAACATATATTTGAGCTTTGAAAGTTGTAGCTCAGTCCATGGTGGGACCACATGGAGGTGAGCACATGTGGTAAAATAAATGCAGAACAGAGGCTTTGAAAGCACTGCTCTGCTACAGAAAACAAACAAACAAATAATATTGACAAGAAAAAACAATGGCAAAAGAATGAACAAACCTCCTTCTCTGATTTCATCTATTGCCACATCTTTCTGACAATGAATAATTGTGTTTCTCCTCTCTCTTAGCTTTCAGAAGATCAAGGAGGCATTTTACCTTTGGTGGCCCAGAAGAAATTAGCTGACTGCAGAAAGTATCACACACATTGTTGATGCATACACCCCCAGTAACCTGCTTGACTTCTTATTTCTAAAATGGACTGATAAAAGGCCAGCAGCCAAAAACAGCAGGAAAAAAATATTTCCTCCCTATTTCTGAACAGAATATATATCATTCACAACACTGAAGCAACAGCAAGCTGGGCCCTCGCAATGCTAACCACACAGGCCCTGCTGAATTGCACTTTGCAACCTCTTGGATTTTTTTATTACTGAGTTTAAGCCCAGAAAAATTTAGCCAACTGTGTGATGAGGTCAAGAGAAGCCATCACAGACAGTGCAACAATTCTTGACTGCCATTCTTGGAAAAGAACAATTTCTTCAGGCTAGTGTTCTCCTAGGTAAGTATAAATGCCTCCCATTACCATTAAAAGCACAGAAAGGACAGCTATTAAATATTAGACTAGAACTCAGGAGATCTTGCATCTAATTATACTTCTGCTAAAGCATTTCTGCATGACCTTGGGCCAGACACACAAAAATCTATCTCTGCTTCAGGCTACCACTGGTAAATGGAGATAATGATATATTTGCCCCTTACAGCAGTGTTCTGAGGTTAAACTCAGGTTACTGTAATATTAACATTTGTTTTTCAGTATTGAAATATAAAAGCACTTAAAGGCCTATTGCAGAAAGAATGCCCTCTAATCTTTCTTTTTTTTTGTGTGCTTACCTTTTCATTAACACATCATTTAAAGAAAAAAAATATAAGAAGAAAATGGCGTTATTTTGGAAACAGCCACTGTTCAGCAGCACAAGGAAGATTTTTGTGTGGAAGAGCACCCACAGAAAAAGAATGTGCAGTAGAAAGGGAAGAAAAATCCACTCCTATGGAAGATGGCAGATCCTTCCAAAAGAAGGGCTGATAATGTGAGCTCAGTGTGTTCTAAAAACCAGAATTTCTCCATTATTAAAGGGGAAATGTCTGCAGATGGCAACAGTGTGAAATTGCAACCTCTGCTCTTCCAGCTCCAATTGCAAAGGAGATGTCAAAAAGTGGCACCAGGATAATAACAAAATCATGTTGTGAGGTTGGAATTTTTTTTGTTGTTTTTATAATTTTTATTTTGGGATGGTTTTTTTTTGTTTTGGATTTATTTGTTGGGGTTTTTTTTAGTTTTCAGGTTTGTCTTTTTTTTTGCAGATGGACAGAAAGTGAATTTACAGAAAATACAATTCAGATTTGCTTTAATACTGATTTATAGCAGCAGTACAATTTGAGTTTTATTGTACCATGCTTTTGATATTTCTACTGTCCCAACCAAATGTCTTTATTTATTCAAGTAGGGAGATGTTTTCCATAAAGATTCTTATCCTTTCTGCATTATCTATAGGTCAGTAATACTTTGCAGCTCCCTGGAGGGGTACTAGCCAAATTCTTACTTTAATAAACTCTAAGTCTTTGCTTTCACAGAAACTTATTTTTTCAATCCTAATCCTAACTTGGCAAAGCATCCACTGGTTGTACAGTAAATATGCCATAAGAATACGTTAAAAAGAAAGGAAAAGCCAGCATTTTACTTGATCCAAGCTGTTTTTCCATCCAGACCAATGCCAAATGTCTGACAGCCAAATGTCTAACATGGAATGTTTCTCTTGCAGCAATAAAAATTGTAAAGAAGAGGTCAAATATTTTCTTCCCTTTAAACCCAAGGGCTGCAAAAGCAAGGAATGCTGTATGCTGAGGTGGCCTTTTAGCTGATCTACAAAATGCTGTTTGCAGCCTAATGTCAAAAAAGCAAATTCTGGCTTGGAAAATGGTATTTTGAATGCTTTCTTTAGTGCTGTAGAGGCTGTATGGACACAGGGTCAAAGATAAGGTTGCAGATACCTCTTCAATCTCATTTCTGCAGCAGTTAAATCTGTGTATGGATACCAAGTGATGATTGAAATGCCTTTTTTTTTTTTTCTGGATTGGAATCTTGGTTGTATTTGTCTTGGAATGTGCCTATTAATTTAACACATTCAATTAAAATTACTAGAAATGTAAACAACTCCTTGTGTGTTGAACTGGCATCACACTACCATTCACCCCAGGGACTGAATGACAGCTTGTCAATGCAGTGAACAACAGGGTTTTTTTTCCATCTCTGACCTGAATGGAGCACATGAAGAAATAGGACACAGGAGTGTGATGAGCTAGAGGAATATGGTGTTGGGACAGCATTTTTGGACTGGTTATCAAGAAAGGGAAAGAATTCACTTCTGGTTAGATAGCAATATATAAAAATACGTGTGTGTGTGAAATGCCTTCTCTCTGCTGTACAGTGATTCTTTGGTTCAGGGAATTAATTTAAATCACACTTTTCCTCTAGTGGCTTCTTCAAGTGCCTCTTTTTGCATTACTGCGCCTCAGAGGTTTGAAGCGTCGTTTTCTAAAAAATCTAAAGGCCAATAGCCTAAGTCAAAACCACTTGTATCCTGAATACATGAAAGTCAAAACACTGATTTTTCTAAAACAGTGAGTGCCAGGCTTGGCAGGCAGATGTTTAGATCTGAAAAGATCTGACATCAACCACTTCCCTCCTTGGAGAAGCAGAGAACTTCTCCTGACAGGAGATGAAAAAGGGAGGATTCCTCCACAGCCTTATGTACAGTAATTTATTTCTGACTGCTTGGACAGGCAAGAGGGAGGAAATATGGAGCCAAAATTATGCTTTCCCATGGATCACAGGGCTGGATTTGGAATTGGGAACTCTAATGGCTCAGCAGGTGGACCATGATCAGATGTAGAAGGAGGCTGCTATATTGCATTTGGTACCCAAAGAAATGCAGTCTGTATCTCAAACAGAAAAGACAAGGGTCCTACCTGCCCAGAAAACCAGATGTAGCTGAAAGCTCATTAGCAGGACATGGCATGCCTAAAAATTCAGATCCAGTTCGTCTCAGGTCAGATATTTAAAATTATTGGAAACATCACAGTTCCAGCCTCAATCACTTTGAGCGTCCTTTAAGGAAAAGAAAGCAATATAATAATAGTTTAAAAAAAATTGTGGATGTATAATAATGGAGCTCAGGATGATGAACCTTATCAATCCTGTCATCTCTGTCCTATGCAACGCACAACACAAGGTAACAAATTTGTACAAAAAATGGCAAAGATTTAGTGGAACTAAAGAGCCTATCACATAGTTTTGACATCAGGAATGCTGCAGCTGGAGATCAACCTTAATTCTTCTCCATGATAATTGATAAATTTCAGTGGTTGAATGTATTCATGTAACAAAGTTTAGGAATAATTCTGAGAATAGCTCACATTGACATAGATGCATTTGTGACTTTTTTTTTTACCTTACCTTCTTAGTGTATTCCTCTCTATTTCACTTCCTTTCTTCTCTTTCTTGCCTGTATTTTATCAGGCCCCTCCTTTTCTTTCCAGGCTTCCAAACTTTTAAGTCTCAGTTTTCTGTACTGAATACAAATAAAACAAGGGTTTAATAACTTGTAAAATAAACAACAATGATCTTCTTCCCTCAGCTCCCTTTCCCCAGAAAAAAAAAAGAGATTGAGAGGGTTCATCTAATGGCACAAACTCTTTTTATCTACATTTTATTTCAGCCTGTAAAGTAGTACTATAGATGGAAGGAGATAACTTATATGACAGAGAGCTTCTGGTACAAAGGGTTTTTGCTTCCTTTTGTAGCAACCCCTTAGAGAAACAATAAGTGAAGCAAAGAGATAGATATTCTACAGCATTAAGTCTCTAAAGTGCAACCTAAAAAATTTACTTGTACTGTTGAATAGTACAGCAGAAACACGAGGCAGATTCCAGTTTATAATGTCACTGAAAATAGAAATTTATTTGCAGCTTTTACATTTACGGGTTTTCATCCAAATGTCTCTGACTCCCATTTTCATTTTAGATGTGCACTGCATTTCTCACCTTTCTCCTTTTCCCTCCCTTGACAAGCACTAATTATTTGCATGCCACACACTCCTGAAGGGCAGGCACTTGCTCACAGGCGAACAGAGACAAATATTTAAAGCTGGGGTGAAAGCAGGAAAACATTTATTAGCCCCCAAAGTCAAGGCTTTGCAGGGCAGAGTCAGCAGTGCAATCATGCCTATAATAAGCAGAGATCATGGCAAAAAGGAGGAGTAGATGAGAGCAAGCTTCTTTCAACATCCCCAGCTCCACTCATGGAGCAGCTGTTTGGGAAACCCATTAGAACAAATCTGTTGCCTTTCCTGTATGCTCTCTAATAAACATAAATAAGTCTGATAAAGGAGAAGCTTAGCTATAAACATTGAAAGGTTCTCAGTCATATTTTCATCAGCTCAGTCCAATGTCACTACAGAAAACTCTGATTCCACTGCATAGAGTAGACATCTCCATAATTTAAGCTGCAGTTATCCTTTACAGAACCAGCTTGAGACAGTGGAATTAACTAAACTAAGAATTGAACCATGAAAAATGTAAAATAAAGTTAGAATAATAGTATTGAAATGTAGATAATTGACATTATTTAATTTCTGATTAAAACGAAAAATCCTTTTTCCTGTCTGCTTATTGTGTTGGCACCTGAGACATCAGTTGAACAACAAAGAAAGAAAGAAGTGGTAAATTGTGATTGGATTACAAGAAAACCCAAATTTGCTTTATATTTGAGTCCTTATGAGTTAGTGAAATCAAGCAAAGGCCTCACATCAATCAGGGCCTGATCCTGAAGGACTCCTAATATTTGGGAACAAGCAGATGATCAGTGGGCTCCCAATTTGGTGGTTTGCTCTCCTCCTTTGGGTCCAGGTGTCCCTAAATCCAGGTGAGGCACCCAGCTGAAGATGCACAGTACCAAGATTCCCCACAGCTGATTCAAAAGCCACATTCCCTGAACGAGCTGAACCTTCACTGCAATAATAACAAAATATTTGCTGTTTATCTTATGTCTATGTTCAGTTAATTTTTCCACACCAGCTCTCTAAAAAAAGTCCTGTATGGCCTACAATAAATGAAGCTGTAGACACCAATGCAAATGTAAGGATCTATAGATTTGCAGATTGTTTGAACCACAGCAACAGCTCCTTATGTTCACTACAATAACATTCAATTATCTCTAATAAGTGTAAGTTTTAATGTTTAACCCAATGCCTCTCTAAGGATATGCTTGCAAGGAGGTGTAGCTATTAGCTGGTAAAATATAACACCATCTGATCAGGACAAATTATTTTCAAAACATAACTGCCATAAAAAGCCAGAATGAAAGATAAATTGACAGCACAACTGCTGCTATATTCTATTTTCATCATTGTAAATGGGATATTATACCATAATTTATTTTAATGAGTAACAATTAAGAAATGGTTTCTCAAGTTGCATGTAATTTCTTTCAGTTATTAGTTATTAGTTGTTCGTGCATAAATGTGTTTTAATATTGGCTTATCTGAGCTCTAATAGGTGATTAAAGCCTTTCAAGTATATAAATTTTTTTAGTTGAGCATTGCAGAGACAATTCTAACACAAGGCACTCATAAGAAAGATGAGAGATATTCCTTAAGTATTACGAAAAATTATGCAGAGCAATATGAGAAAGTTGTCAGAGAGAACCCTGATATGCTTAACACTGAGTTTTGTTCTATCTAACTGCAGGTACAGTTTAATGGCCTCTGTCTTAATGAAATATTTAAGTTCACCTGGCTGTAGAGTAACTAACTATACCAGATATTCTTTCACTCTATTAGAATAAGGAAATATTATCATGGGAGGCCATGCTAACAAGCCTAGACGTTGCTTGTATTGTCGAAGAATAAGTTCACTTCTCAGAGGAGCACAAAGACCTGGAGAAACTGGCACCTCTTTGACAGAAAAGGCACTGTACTTATCTCCCAGAAAGTAGCCTATTTTGTGCTCAGAATGGCTCAGAACAGCCTCTCTGCTATCAGCCACTCTGACACAACCCAGCATTTGTTGTGCTTGCTCTTACCCAGCCACGGGGGTCACGGGAGGGAAGGAAGCAAATGCTGAACAATTCTCTTCAGAAGGCAAACACCAACCTGACCTAACCCAGTGCATTGTAACCCCATCTCTGTCAATCTCGTGGGAATCAATGCCTCTTCTTACAAACTCACCCATGGAAATGTTTTTAACCAGGAGATAGAAAATTCTCTGCACTGAGATAATTCATTTTCTTTAAACTTACAGTACACTGTCAGGTTATATTTATGTTCCTTAGGACTCTATGCATCCAGAAACTTAAGAATAATGAATAAACCTTAGAGGATTATTTTGGTTGTTGAACTGTAGGTCATTAAATTTAGATTAAATTGCTCCAATAAATGTGGATATTTCTAACTCCTGTGCATATATTTTAAAGCATATTTCCTATCCCAGTTGTGTTTGGCTGTCTCAAAAGAACATCTCACTATAATTATTAATTTTCTACTGCAACAGTAGGCTTGTAAGTAATGCACCGTGATTTACGAACCACTCTTAATTACAAAGGGTCTTTGTGGCAGCTGAAAATAAATAAATGTCAATTAGGATCACATTTCAGTGTCCTACAGACCTGAATTTCAGTAGAAACCAACAACTCTGCTTGTTTGAGCTATGCAGAGAGGCTTGGTACGTAGGTAATTTTTAACTATTAAAAGAATTGAAGAAAAAAAAAGGAAGTTATTTAATTTTACTCTTTCTAAACAAATTGAGTTTTTGTCTGGGTAAGACTGCTGTGATCAGCACGAAGGTTTCCTGCATGCCATTTCTCAGGATGTCAGGGATGCTTTTGTGAGGATTCTTCACTTGTTTTTCCATTGCAATGAAGCAAAGCCTGTTTTGTGGAGATACAAGGTTGACTAAATCCTTCTTAAGGCAGCAGCACAGAGTACATGAGCAATGCAACACAAGGAGCATTAGTCTCTGCATAACAAATTTATTGAAGCCCTTATTTTCCTGTACATTTAAAATCCTTTCTTTTCCTGCTGAAGATTATATTCATCCTGAAACATTACCCTTCAAGTGTTAAAATGACAAGTGCTGATGAAGGTAAAGCTGATCAGCTGCTAGACTCCCACTGCTGAACATTATAAAGTTTCTGTTGTTCGAACAGCTCAGTTAATTATCCAAACGTGAAGGATATCAGGAGGGGACCTGCTGAGCTTTACAGCTGAATTCCAGGGATTTATCCATAATAGAGCTGTTAAAAGAAAATTATGACAGACACAACGCGGAGGGACCTCTGCTTACCTCCCTGGAGGATTTGTGCAGGACCTTATAATCAAACAGAGTTAGGACTTTCCTCGGAATCAAAGGGAAGCTCCACTTCAACTTCATGGTGTTTTATCTCACAAACCCAGAGAGGATTCTAGACTCATGCATTTTAATTGCCCACTGCAAAATAAAATGACTGGCATTCCTCTGGTGCCAGGGACTACTTGGTCAGATTTAGGTTCTCAAAATTATTATCATGCCTCGCCCACAGTTAAAAATGTAGTCCTTGCTGCTTCTGTGTGAGGTTTTTCAGAAGCCATAAAGTTCCTTTACAACAAGTACTCATAGTGGGTCTTTGAGTGACAACAATAGTTGGGGTTTTTAAAAAAAGTTTGAGCTTTTGAAGCTGTTATGGTCAACATCTCATGAACCTGGGACATCTCCCAGAAAAATAATTCAACATAATTGAGGAGGCTTCAGTGGCTACTAAGGAGTGCAAAAGAATGAGCTGCATTGAGGTGAATTGAGTAAAACATGGAATCTGTTCAAATCAGAAAAGCCAGAACTTGAACAAATCTGCAAAGCACTGGCTGATGTTGCAGCAGATAAAGCTCTGTGACATCTTTATATGATGGTCACAGTCACATGGGCTAAACAAAAAGACATCAAACTCCTTCCTAACATCCCAGAAACCTTAATTTGTGCACACACCACATGCTGCACCAGCACAATGCCACTTAGTAGTTGTTATTTTTTGCTCTTTCCAGTATTCACTCTCCAGTACAACTGCAAAGAATTTAATTCACCTGTGTGGGCGTGCCCTGGCTGGGGAAAATTGCATGGACTTGTGTTCAAGCTCTGAAAGAGCAAACTGAAAGCACTGAGGAAGGTTTTACTGAGTTAGTCTTCAAAAACAAACTGAATTAGTTTAGCCAAATTAAATACTTAATTTTCCATGACAAACAGTGGGAAACATTAATACTATCATATCTTACACCAAAGTTCACCACTATAATGAGAGAAGTCAATCTTGCATCTAGACGCTATCAATTAATAATCTCTAGACATTCTTAATTTTTAATCTCTCTTTGAAACATTATTAAACTTTGCAGTATACCTTCTTAGCAGGTGCACCTAAGAGCTTCTATGAAATAATGTGCAGCAGAACGAGCAATTTCGGGTGTGATAATATCAGTGAAAATTATGCCCTGCAGTTATTACCATAAAGTCATAAATAGGATGGTGTAATAATGGAATGG